CGTCCAAATGCTACCTATTTTCCCAAGATCATGCCTGCAGCTCTAAGTGGTTGAGATCCATCCTTTTGCATCTGAGGAGCAGAGGAGGATGCATTCTCTTTGTCCAGTTCATGTGCTACGCACCTACATTGAGCGTACTCAGAATGTGCGTTTATGTGACCAGCTGTTTGTCTGCTTCGCTAATCCAACTAGAGGTAGAGCTCTGTCTAAACAGAGGCTGTCCTGCTGGATTATAGAACCTATCTCACTGGCGTACAGCACCAAAGGTCTTGCTTTGCCCCAGGGAGTGAGAGCTCATTCCACCAGGGGGATGGCAACCTCATGGGCTCTTTTTAAAGGGGTGCCTGTAGCTGATATTTGTACAGCAGCTAGTCTGGCATCACCGCAGACTTTTGTGTGGTTTTATCGTTACAGCCCCTTTGGTGGCTCAAGCTATCCTTTCTGCTGGGTCTACCGCACAGTAAGGTGGTGGTGGTATGAATCCAGTTTGGTGGCTGCTCTGCGGGGTGTGTATATATGTCCCATACTTATGTGTTGTACCGAGTGAATTGACTGAAAGGGAACGAATAGTTATGTCTATAACTTCTGTTCCCTGAAGGAGAGGAACAAGGTACAACACAAGGTGGCTCCACTGAGCAGTTTGGCTCGGTGAAGAGCGGCTATCGAGCTGACGGATGACTGTGATGACAGAAGTTAAAGACATAACATAACATAACTGACTACGGTAGCCATAATTCATCGAGCGTTGCGGCTTCGTAGCTTACCAAAGTCGTACTAAGACATTTTTTGACAGATTTTTGAGCAGCGTGTACCACATAAAATCAGTTCGAGGTCACTAAGCACAACCAGAATTCATACTTAAGGCACACCGGCGCACAGTCAGTTTTTGAGAAAAACTAAAGGATTTTAAGTAAGTGGAAAATACTTTTTCATATGATTGTTTAAGGTTTTAGCTAGTAAATTGTAGCTGGTTATTTTAGCTCAAGATCAAGTTTGAAAATGGAGAGAAACACGAAAAAGGTCACTTATGAACCTGTTCCAGATTTCTTCCTAATTTGCCAAAATCCTAAGCAGTTTGTGGTTTATCAGAGAGGGCTTGTGGAGTCATGTGTCTGAATTTTTCTTAGCCGGGACAGTAACTTCTTTAGAGCATATTGGTTGTCTGGCATTCTTCCAGTGTCAACAAAAAATAAAAAAGTTATTATTTCAGGCTAAAAAGTAGTCTGGCACAAAATTCATCAGTCTATATATATTTTGCTTGTGGCTAGGGTTTGTCTCCAGCCCTATCCATGTCTGCGCTAAACAAAGCTAGTCAGCTGCTGGAGGTGTTTTCATAACTAAGATACAGTACACACAAAAGAGCGCCATCAATCTTTCATCTGGTTTAAAGATATTGTTTTATCCCTGTGTAGTGCCAGAACTGTAGCTTTAAGTTGTCGATTATGTTATGACAAAATAAGTCGAGCACCTGCCTCTGTAAAGACGTTCAGGGGGATTTATCTTTGACCCCAGTAACATTCCAATATCTGGATGTCACAAATTCTTTTTGGGTGAAACAAAAGTAAATCCACACTTTATTAGTCCTGCCAAATGCAAATCATTAAGTTTCCCTTTCCTGGATTCCCATGGAGAGCATTTAATAAAACTCTTATTTGATGACCTGATAGCATAAAAATGTTGCATGATGCATTGATTTGGCTGGCTCAGATGGGTTTGTTGCCATATGGCTAAAATAAGTGTCAACAGAAGAGCGGCTCCCCATCGTCACACATTTGATGGACTGATTAACGTTCACACCATAAAAAAAGCTGGTAATACTTCCTGTATTTAGCAAAGAAAAAGAAAAGAAATTCATGAACAACAATCACATTACTTGGTAAACTGGATTAACTATTTTAAAAATGGATCAAGTAAACTGTACAATACTAATAAGCTTGAAAGTCGGTATTTGCCATGATCCCCTTTACTCTTCAGCACATCCTGAATTCTCCCAGCCAGCCAGTCTTATATGATCCCACACTGAAACAATAAAGTTGAGGTCCAGGCATAGTGCTCCATTGTGTGTTATTCTACCCAGGTATGCTTTTACAGCATTGGCAGTGTGTTTGAGGTCACTTTCATGCTAAAATTAAAGCCACTAAAACATTTTACAGAGGATATTGCATGGTGGATCAACATCTGACTGTATTTTTTCTGCATTCGTAATTCTATTCGACGAGTCTGCCTACAGGAGGGAGGTTGAACGTCTGGTGTCTTGGTGCAGCCACAACAACCTGGTGCTAAATGCCCAGAAGACAGTGGAGATTATTGTGGACTTCAGGAAGCACACAGCCCCACTCCCCCCCATCATCCTGACTGACACCCCCATCACCTCTGTGGACTCATTCCGCTTCCTGGGTACCACCATCACCCAGGACCTGAAGTGGGAGCCCACCATCACCTCCGTCATCAAGAAAGCCCAGCAGAGGATGTACTTCCTGAGGCAGCTGAAGAAATTCAACCTGCCAACACGGACGATGATGCAGTTCTACACTGCAAGTCCATCCTCACCTCCTCCATCACCGTGTGGTACGCTGGAGCCACTATCAGGGACAAACAGAGACTGCAGCGTGTTGTGCGCTCTGCTGAGAAGGTGATTGGCTGCAGACTCCCATCTTTGCAGGACCTGTACACCTCCAGGACACTGCGGCGTGCAGCTCGGATCTCAGCTGACCCTTCTCACCCTGGACACAGTCTGTTTGACCTGCTCCCCTCAGGCAGGAGGCTCCGGTCCATTCGCACCAGAACCTCTCGCCATAAGAACAGTTTCTTCCCCTCTGCTGTTGGACACATGAACAATAACCATATGACTGTACCCGCCACTAACACATGACCCTACGCTGTGTCACTGCATCATTCTATGTTTGGCACTGATCACCACCTGCACTCATGTATATATCTTTCAACGTAGCACTCTTAATTCTTATTCTCATGTATATATCTCATGTATATCTCATGCACATATCTTTCCACGTAGCACTTTTAATTCTTATCCCTACTTTTATTTTTTTCCATGTCTATTTAAGTGCTATTTATGACAGCATGTTTGCACTGAAGCACCGCAGCAATTTCCTAATGTTGTAAACCTGCTCAACATTTGGCAATAAACCCCATTCTGATTCTGATTCTGATTCTGATTCTATTCATTTTGACTAGTCCCCCAACACCACTGGCTAAAATACAGCCCCAAACCAATACAGAGCCTCCACCGTGTTTTACAGATGACCGTAGACACTCACTGTTGTACCTCTCTCCTGCTGTTCTCCATACATCCTGATAAAGACTTGTTTATGTCAAATTTGGATTCATCAGACCTGTTGCTGCTGATTTTCAGTCCAGTTCTTGAGTAAATGTCATAACTCAGCCTTTTCCTTTGGAAATCGCAAATCACACAATTATGACAAATCTTAGCCACATGGCAACAAACCCATCTGAGCCAGCCACCCGTCCATTGTGTGTATTTCTGATTTGGCTTCAGTGAACATTAGATGGATGAACTGCAGATCCAGATGCATCTCTCAGGTCCTGTGTCAGGTTTCTGCTGCATTTTGTCCTTCTGTCCTTCACTTATCCAGTTTCCTCCAATGTTTTAAGAACATACTGTGCACCATGCTGTCATATGCCAAGTCTTTGGCCAATAACTCTTTGGAAATCAAGCTGTTGGTGCAAAAATACTATTTTATGCCAAACTGTTATCTTTGGCAACTAAAGAAATGGGAACAAATCATGCGTTTACGTGACAGGCTGCAATTAACAAAGTGCCTAAAGATACAATTTAAAGTGCAAAGTTGTCTGTTAACTGTAAACACAATGCTCAATGTGCATTTTTTTTTTCCATTACTGAAAGACTCATACGACAGTGTTAAATGGCTTTACAAAAAAGAAAATTGACTAAAAAAGGCGGAGATACAAGGACTGAAAATGACTGTAAAAGCAGCCAATGTCCAAGGAAAACGTTTGAAAGACCTCCAGAAACCCTGGAGAACTATTGCTTAAGACCACTATAATAAAATTCCAAGAAAGCCTGGCTCCTTGGAATCAAAATATAAAGAAATGTGGAGAGGCTTGAGAATTTGCACTCCATACATACTGCCAAATGTGGTGAACAAAGGATACAAAAGTGGAAAGATTTCTAATTGTGATGACGACATGTATTTTGAGAGCTTCTCTTTGCTTTCAGCTCAAGTTTTCCAGTGTCTGGGTTTCAAACATGAAGGCATGTGCTGTCCTGTTTTTGTAATCACCGCAGCCTGCAGCAGCAAATGGGATTCAAATCTGCCCAGCTCCCTTTCCAGACTCCTGACTATCTAGCAACTTGGAATGCTGAGTTAAAATGTTTAAATGAACACAAAGTTAGCATTTTCACTGATTACATAATTGGACTTTATAATGGAACATGCACTGCATTTGTAATGTAATCCACTCCAAAAGTATGGCATGCTGTGCAGTGAGGTACAACAGCCAGTCTAACAGTTCTGTGTTTTAGTTAAAGGGAGTAAAATGCTACAGTCTTATTTTGTGTTGGTATGATACAGCCATACAGTCTATGGATACACGTACATAGAAGAAGTTGATAAGTTAGCACTCCAACACCTCATCCAAGTATTGAAGGCATTCATGCGACAGCACATGAGAAACTGCTAAAGTAATTATTGGCTCCAAAATACCAAGATGGCAATGGTCACTTGAGCCTTGAGGCTTCCAAACAGGAGTTTACAGTGGGTGACAATCATTTATATACAGTCTAAGAGTGAAAACTATGTGCCTTTTCAAATATTTGCTTGTAATCCAAAGTTAAAAAACCTGGGAAGGGTTTTCGCAGCACAGTTATCAGCGAAGTCTGCAGCACAGTTTGATAGGTTTGTGGTTTTAGATAACAATATTTAACCTGTCCATTTTCATTATTATTCTAAAAATAATGTTAGTAAACAAATTATGAATATAGAAATCGAGTCATTAAATGCATTTAAAATTTTGTTAGTAGTTTTTTTTAATTGAAATACTGTACATCTTTACATGACATCCAAAACCAGCACGCTGACATTTGGCGAGAGAAACTAAAGAACAAGAGAGGCAAAAAATTAGAAAGTGTAACCAAACACGTCAGATCCTATCATGTGCTACGTCTCTTTTACAGTCTGAGAAAATAAAAAAAACAACAACATAAATTATGTGAAAAAGCCCCCCCAAAAATTGTTTTTTAAAAATCTGCTAATATTAAAAGGGTCCATTAATAAAAGAAAAAAAAATCAGCATTCATCTGGTTGGTGAAAAATCCATCAGCAGAGCAGCTGAACCCACGCACAGATGACTGCATAAGGCCTTTATTTCAGGAAATCTCATGTGGATCCTCAATCCTCCGGAAAACTGCAAGAAAATTCTTTCCTCCATTTCTCTGCACTTTCTTTCCTTCCTCTGTGCAGGTACCCAGACGACTTATGATGACATCATCAGCCTGCCAAAAGAGGATTTAGGATTGAATCACATCTAATGGTACAGCAGACCAAAACGTGCACTTTCTGACACTGCTCAGTAACTTTTTTTAGCAACTTATTCTAACATACAAATCAACTTACCACCATTCTGCGCTTTTCTGATCAATAATAGAAAATTTACGTTTCTTATTTAAGGAAACAGTGCAATATTTTCTATTCCCCCCCCCCGAAAAACTATTTCCTATTTCATATCCTACTTTTGACTACTTTGTTCGAGTGAGCAGCTGAACACCAAATGCTGATGTCATGACCTGCAAACACAGCGATGCAAAGCATGTCAACGTACCAGTTCTTCATCGACGACCCGCGTGAACAGTGGATGTTCACTGAAGTGCTTCACCATCCAGAGGTGGACTTCCTCCACATCTGTGATGGTATATACCAAACCCTGACACAAACAGACAAACACACAGAGACCATTAACACAGCTCTGAGAAAAATACTAAAACTTTGCTATTTACTGATATGAACCCATTTATCAAAAAACAAACACACTCACTACTGCACTGATGAAAAAATAACAAACACATATACGAGTCTCTTTTTTTTGACACTGTCAGACATTTCAGACCTGCAGTTAGTTATATGGTTTCATCACCTTTGGAGAGCAATTTATCTCTAAAGATAAAAATAACCTAATGCCAACACAGAGGTGAATCACCTGTGTCAAGGTAGTTTACTTTGGAGACCGTGCTGATAAAATTACTAGAACTTGGATTTCTTTGAACACTTTGAAAAGGCACAGATTTCCACACCAGTGCATGTCAGCACGTATGTGTCTTAATTTCCAGAAAAAAGAAAAAAAAAGCAGGGTGAGGGACGCCGTTTTATCCTGCCGTTCTGACAATACCCAAGATTTAAAACTTAGTCACAACTTAAAATTAGACTTGTTTTGGTTTGAAACTGCCTCTACAAATGAGCGCACACTTGACAGCCTCCGCTCCCACCGGCAGTTCTGGCTGCGAGCCAACGCTGAAGGCCCTTGTAGAGTTTGCACGCACACCTGCGCACACACAACGTATGTATGCACACGTGCATCAATGCGCACACACACACAACGGAGGAAAAAGGATAAATTTAGACACAAGCCTTCCATTGTTCCCCACAACCTCCATCAGCGTTCACCCCCAGTGTCCCACTGCTGCCTTGACAGCTCTGAGAGGCAGGACTTGGGTGTATAAACCAGTTGTAGGCCACACCGGTTCCCACATTTTATTTCCTGTGAACTCACAGGTTTGTACACAGTTCAATTATGTAGGAAACTAGAAGAAATGGTAGTTTAACTCTCAACTGTGACCCATAGTAGGGAAAAAATATTATTGCATATATGGAAAAACACTTACAGTAATGAGACAAGCTAAACCACACTGTTTTAAGTGGTTATTGTAGTGATACACTATCAATTTCCACTGTCAACAAATTCCATTAAAAGCTCCAAACCATCAGTGAACTCAGCCTATTAAAGCAGAATTCATGGTAGTGCATTTGTATAGGTTTGCGTTGGTGTTTGGATATACAGAGTGAAGGATTATGGGTATACAACCTACAAAACATATACAGAGCCTAAGTGGGCTTGAACAGAAAGGGCAGCAACAGTAGAGTTTACCGCAGAGAGAGATGTTTTCAACATTGTTAACACTCCAGGGCACGCGGAAGGACCAACAGGAAGCAAGAGTAGCCCACAGACGTCTTTATTTACACATTTTTGACACTGCCCCCCGGTGACAGTAACACAGTACAACATGGAGATGGCGGTCTGCAAAGCTGTGCAGCTCACCGTAGGATCAACGCACAACTACGCTGGTCTCTGAACAGCTGTTGTGTTTATCCAAAGACATACGTGAACCATACTGCAGCACTGAAGAAAATGTTACTTTGTTGTTCATAGTTTATCTGAAGCGATAAAATTATTTGTGCATTTCCAATTTTAAATGATAAGCAAGAAAACTGAATAGTTATTTTATAATTTATTATCCAGTACAAGTGAGAAATGTAATGCAAAGCTCAGCACAGAACCCTAAGCTATGTATTTTTTCCACTCAATTAAAAAAGCATAGATTTTATCTTTAGAGTCCGACCGATATCCAAGTTGATAGTTTCTATTTGTTGATTCATTGGTATCTGCATTTATAATGGCCTGTTGCCCACCTAAGGGCACTCTACAAATTCCCTGTTGGCAACACGTTTTCGGAACGCCACATACACGACAACCTGCTGATCCAAGCAGTGTCGAGCAGAGCGTCAGTGAGCAATCCAACTTATTGTAGCAATAAAAAAAGATTATGTTTAAATGCAATTATCATATCATCTTAATAAGAATTTATAAATAACTACATATAACAAATCTGTTATGTCTAAAAGCAAAAAAACAAAACAAGCATTAGCTGTTATATCAGATTCTCTTACATCCCTAAATATCGGTATTTGTCTTAAATATCCGATATCGGTCAGGTTTTAATTACATTGAAAGAAAACTGGAAGAAGGACAATGTTTTACATTTTTGTCTGATAAATGATGCATTAATGTTCACTAAAAACTTGGAATAAGCGTAACTCAAATACATACCCCTACTCTGAGCGTGTAGGCGTATTCTGCCAACAGAGTGGGACTAATGATCCTCCATTTGTGCTTGGTCTTCTTAAAGTGAGGGTCAGGGAAGAGGAAGAACATCTTAGTGAGCTGAGAGACAGAAACAACACGGTAACAGTCACACAAGCAACGACCAAACAAAGTGTAGGCAGTTTTATTCAACTATATTTAGCCATGCAACACAACAAAAGGTGAGCAAATCTGGCCCCCATAATTTGCTGTTGAATTTTACGCTGAGAATTGCAAAGTGGAATTTCCCTCCTTGATTTTTTTTTTTCCTTTTCTTCCCACAAAGTTCCCCGTGTCTCCGTCCTTGACAAGTGTACAAGTGCAGGCTCTGTTCATATTTGTCTGGCTGATATATTAAAAATACTTCCAGTCACTTTTTATTAGTTAAAATAAATAACATCAGGTACAGACAGCGAGTTGTGGGGATAATCACCGGGGACGGCTACAGCCTCAAGGGCTCCTTCAGTGCTGACAGAAGGTGGAAAAACCTTCAAAGAACTGAATTATTTTTGGGTTACAAAACACACCAACAAGAGGGAGGAAACAAAGAGATTGAATCTTTTAGAATACACTGTTCCGACACTTGAAACACGGCGTGCATGTGGGAAGGATTGTGGCTAAATTTCCATTTCTAGTCTGGGTGGTCTTCACTTAATACTGTCACTTTAAAATTTGAATGATTTTGAGCCTATTGTAAGAAAAGGTAGACACCCAACGTTAAAGGAGGATGCAGCTGCACTGTTCAGCTCTGGGGAAAAAAATATGAGCCAAGAGGTATTAATGCTTAGAGGCACTGAAGCTCTGCAAGGTTGCTCTTAGCACTGTTCAAAGCCCCAACTCTTTCCAGCATGTCCTATTATTTTAAATGACCTGAAATTGCACACTAAAATATAAATACATTAAACAAATGTGCATGTTTCTATATGAAACACCTTCATGATTTGTGCTCCATAAACGTGTCACTGTTACGCCTCTTTTTCCTCCTTTAGTTGATACCCACACAGGGCATTTGAGGTGAATTTTTTTATGCAGGATACCTGAATGAACCCTGGTACACTAAGCCCACTGAGCAGTCTAATGCGGGTTTCAACAAGTCAGAGCGCTGCAGCTAATTGGGCCGGATAAAAGGCGTCTCGCTCAGCTGATGTGATGTCAGTCAATGACCCCATTGTTGTGAAATCCCTGGATTTATTGGACCTTGTATAAATTAATTCAGTCCATATGTTGAACACGTGCATATTCTTATTACCTTGGCATGTCCAGCACAGACGTCAGTTTAACGTTTTTAAAGCCCACGTTGGCTGAGCCATTTAAAAAAAAAAAAAGGTCAGGTTTGTATATGTGCTCTAATTCAATAACCTGCACATAATCCTATCAATGCTGGCCCTATATATCAGGTAGGTGCATGTGGTTTTTCCTCTATTCATAAAATGCATTAGTGCCACAGTCATATTCTTTAGGTTTGCTAGAGAATTGTAGAAGCTAAAATGAGCCGCAAGCATTGAAGCGCAACAGAACCTGTAGTAGATTTTTGCAGCTGATGCTGATATCAATTTTTTGGTAGTATTTATATGCCAGCTGGTAAATATCCACAGACAGACAGACAGACAGACAGACAGACAGAAAGACAGAAAGAAAGAAAGAAAGAAAGAAAGAAAGAAAGAAAGAAAGATTTTCTATTTTTGCCTCTGTACACCACCACAAATTTAAATAAGGCAACCGATATGTGACTGAAGTGCAGTGTTTCAGCTTTAATTTAAGGGATTTAACAAAAATAGGAATTACATTTATTTATATACACAGAGACTCAAAAATAATTGGCTGATGAGCAGCTTAATTTCTATGTGAGGCCTGTTTTCCCTGTTATTTTGTGACAAGTGAAGCAGACAGAATATCTTAAGTTGATTCAAAGTGTTGAATTTTTATGAGCGCTAAAGAAATACCAGTGAGGGAGGTTATCATTAGGCTGAAAAGCTAAAATAAACCCATCAGAAAGATAGAGCTAAACTTCAGGAGTGGCCAAATCAACAATCTGGTGCATTCTTAAAAAGACTGAATGCACTGGACAAGGTCAGCAACAATGAAAGACCACAGAAGACGACTAAAGCTCATGAGGACAGAATTATTTCCATGGTTTAGAAAAACAACTTCCCAGAATGATGGAAGGAGAAACGTACGGAGATTGAGAGAAACAGCTCATGATCCGAAGCATATCAGTCTAGTGTTTCTTGATGACGTGACTGCTGACAGAACCAGCAGGATGAACTCATAGCAGAGCATCTCAAGGGAGAGAACACAGAATTTGGTCATGTCTGAGAGTTTTACACTTCAAAAATCCCATTTAAAGTCACGCTAGTTTGTTCAGTTTATTTTAAGTGTCTGAAAATGAGGATGACGCATACATACGTGTAACTCCTAAACAGTTAATGCAAACTTTTTGTTAAACCTTAAAAATCTGCACTTCATTCACATCTTGATGGTCTGATTTAAGTGTAAGAACTACATATAAACTGTGTTATAGATGAATGCCGCACCGCAGACACCGACATCCAGTGTTATTATCTTATTCAAGAACTGAACATTTCATTTTAAATGTGTTTGATATTTGGGGAAAGGTATTCTAATTTGATATGTCAAATGTGTTTGAAATGCTTTTAATTTCTTTAAAAACAAAAGTGAAAAACTGCGACTGATCCAGAAGTGATTTCTAACATTTTGCATTATGTTTGATTGAAGCCAGCCTGAGCCAGCTTTGGAAATTTAAGAGTTCTAATACGAATTCCAACAAAAAGCTCAATTAAACCAAATTAATAATGTTCCCTTTTTAATTTCTTAAGTCACACTGCTGCCTTATAATGCCCTCATACTTAACCTTTTTCACTAATCCATTTTATGCGGGTAAGAGACCAAGAACATTTTTTAGGGGACTAATCTGCAGCATTTTTGTGAGCTCAAAGCGAAATATTTCTGCAGGAATTACTGAGCGAGTTAAGCCAAAAGACACCTCTGCCGTGCTGATTCATTAAACAGCAGTAACCCACCTGTCCTTTACAAAAGAAGTTGGGGAGGTACTTCATGGCATTGCTACGAATGCAGGCGATGTTCTGGTAGCTCGCTGGATTTGAGGCACGCAGCGACTGGATACGATCCTGAACATAATCTGACACTTTCACCCGGATCTCCATACCCAGGATGAGCTTATCTGGGAAGAGTGGAGATAACTCCACTGGAGTGCAGAGAAAATAAAGACACAAACATGATGTAGATTACGGAGCAATAAAAGGCTGAATGTGGTCTTTATACACAGGCTGTGTGTAGTACCTAAAAGCCCCCCATATCCACATCCAATGTCAGCAAACTCGACTCGAGGGGGCTCTGTCTCACTCAGGCTGCCAGTGAATAAGTCTGGATACAGCTTGGACCAGTCCATTTTATCAGGACACACAGGGCTGAAGAGGAGTAGGAGAAAGTACATCACTATAAATAGTTTTCAATTAAATCGTATTCTGCGGAAGACAGACCCCTTTTGAAAATAAAGGATCCATCAGCAGCGATCCTCTATTTCCTGTTTCTTTTATGTTATCTGTTTGTTTTATTCTCATACCAATCCAAACACTCAGAAACACCTAATCGTGCTCACAGAGAGCCGTGCACATGGAGCTCACTCACTAATCAAAGGTGTGGTGCGCCATCGGGTTTGAATGGGCTCGCTGTCTGTAGTAACGCTTCTGCGGCATGGACGAAGCCATGATGGATCAAAGGAAAGATGTTAATGCTGACGATATTCAGGATGTTCACCCAGTTATGAACAAACTGCCGGAATCTGCGCTCGCTCACGCTTGTTTCCACTCAGTTTGTTAGTCGCAGGGTTCTTTCGTCATCACCAAGCGTCCGCTCGGGGTTGCCAGGTTTGCTGATACCGGCTGAAAAACTCAACATTACAGTTTCTTTGTTTTCAAGTGATTTGTGTTGTTTTTAATGTTTACTGATCTATTACAGAAACCACAAAAATATGTAAACAAATTTTACCGATAAAGGTAAGTGTAAAATTACAACTCCTCCCTAGTTGTAGGATGGATGAAATTACCTTAAAGTTCTGTTTCTCTTCATGCATTCTGCAGTTATGTGGCTATATATAGGTGTTAAGAAATATGTTCTAAAACACTTCTTCAGTAAAGACTCAGAGAAGAGAAACACACAGAACTTCTTGCTAGCAAGGGCAGTCTCCAGACTGAGAGACTCGCGCTGAGAAACTGCCCCGGTCTTTATTTATACTTCAGTGTGCGTGTGTGTGTGTCCTGCTGATCAAAGGGTCATATAACATGAAAGCACAAAAGGTACATCCTTGGTCAGGAAAAGGGTAGTCTCCCCCTCACCCTAAATGTTTCACCCTAAATAACATGGTGAGGAAGTCCAGCAGTTCATCTATATGTAAAGAAGCACTTAAACTAAAACAGACATAGCTACGTTAATCCTACCGTAAAACAATAAGACAAGGTACGACCTCTCCCATGCTTCTAGGATGTGGGGGTGAACACCCTAGAATGTTACAGACCTCCTAGGATGAGACATTCTTTCAATATGCCACCAACTATATACTTCTACACACAAATGATTACATGCAGCATTCTACCATATGCAAACTTATATCACTAAAAGATTATACTGACTACTAAATACAATTTTCCATTGACAATAGGGTATCAGAAAATTCTGCCTCTGACCCAATGGGAGCTGATCCTCAATCTTGGAATTTTAAACGTTCCTCAGTATCTTAGCTGTTCCTTGGTCTGCTGTCTTCTGCACAGAAACCTCGGATGTTGTGCGTGGAATCTTTTAGAATCTTATCTTCCAGTTTCTGGGTTTGATCTCCTAGTGCTCCCATTACTACTGGGACCACTTTTGACTTTGTCTTCTACATCTGCATCAGTGGTTCCTTCAAGCCCCTAGTACTTCTCTGTTCTCTATGCTGTCCACTGGGATGGCCACCTCTATCACAGCTGTGGTCTTCTGCTCCTTGTCAGCCACCACTGTGCCTGGTTGACTCGCCAGCAGCTGCTTGTCTGTCTGGAAGTCCCACAGGATCCTAGCACCTTTGGTGGTGTCTCCCGTATGTGGCAGAGATGTTCTTGTACACTATCTCAGCCACACAGCACCTTTGTACAATCTGAAACTTGGGTGCAGCTGGCTGTGGTAGACCCCTGCCTTTATAGATCTGATTCTTAGGGGCCACATGTATTCAGTCAGAATGACATCCAAATGGCTTTACTGTGGATCCTGGTGGGCTGGACAAGGGACTGGTGCGATTTGCCTTGGAGTGTTGTTTTCCACAGTCCCAATGAATTCCATTTTGGCCCTCTGGTGTTATTTCCAATGCCTTGCTGAGCTGTGCTCATGTATTGACTCATGTGCCTACTCAGTTTACTCAGTTTGGTTAGCACATTTTTTTAATATTAGGATTTTTACTGACAATTGAACGTTTAAAGCATCAAACAGTCAGATCTTTGTTTCCTAAATTGAGACGAGACAAAACCTAGAAAATAAAATGTGACATTCTATGCACTTTTAACACATCCTAAAGTTTTATTGGGCATTTTCTTGACTTATCCATCAGTTCAACTTTAAGTGAAAACAGCACAAGTTACCAAGATCATGGCAAACTCTCAGACATACACAGAAACATTAGAAGGGGAACTGCTACAGTGGTCATACGTAGAAGCACAATCATTATCGCCATCAAACTCTCACTTACGTGGTCAAATCCTAATCAACCTTAAAAACAAATCCAAATCCAACTTTTTCTTTTCTTTTCTAAGTAAAACAAACTTGTTTGGTTACATTTTGAAACCTTAGTTCTAGTGTTAAAAATGGTTACTTGTTTTAAGAAAGAATCTGTTCAAAATCATTTTTTTTCTCAATTCACAGGCTTCACATTTAAAGTCTCAAATAAAAACTTCAAGTTTCTCACAAAATAGGTAATACTCATCCTTAACTCCAGCAGAATCTGAGAAGGAAATATGAAAGTGGAAGTTCACGGCAGTGTTTATATGGCAGATTGGGATTTTATTTAATTAAACCCCAATCAACACTTTTCTCCTCCTTAAACATTACAGCACTTTAGTCAGCTTCATACGGTGGTCACTCTCATGACCACCTCATGGTTGCTGCTGTGCAAGTTGTTGGGTCTTAGCTGGCTAAGGAAATGTAAAACAGTGTAGCCACAGTGGTGGTTGAGAATAGTCCTGATATGGCGGTTTGCCCTCCGGCTGCTGTCTGTGACAGTGTGAGAAGAGTTCCTCTCTACTCGAACAGTGCTTTTGCTGCTGGAACTGATGGGATCCCCTAAGTCCTTTGCTTTGTCATAATTCAGCACTTTCCACTTCTGGTTCACCGCCTGCCAGCGCTTAAAGATCCGGTAGACAGATGATCCTTCGTGGATTATAAGGCCTGCATGTGAAGTTCAAAGGCAAGAAAAGAAATGTTACTGTAGGCATTTAAGGATGTAGAATGTTTCTGTCCTCATCTGTGTTTGTGTGCAAACCAGAACATGGTGTGCGATGTGTGCTACAATTCCCAGGTTAACTGACATGTCTCCTTGGAATAGTGTGCAGCGGTGGGCAACAGGCTTTGAAATATGTGTGCTCTCATGTGGTGTGTGTGTAAAAAGTGTTATCCTATTGGCAGTGCCATGTATTGGAGTCTGAAAGATTTATCAGAGGGCCAATCTTAGCAGCAGGCTGTTATTTCTGGCCAATATGGCGATGCTGATCTATCAATGTCTGAATTTATAACAGCTGATAAATAAAAAATTTAAAGAGTAAATAAGTGACAGGAGAAACACCAGTCCACTATGTCATGAGTGTTAATGTTGCATAGTTTGTCCACTAGAAGGCACTTCCTGTCAACTTCCAGCAACAATAACCAGCTGATCAGAGCAGAGGCGGGCTGAGAACCAGCTTATTATTTTATGTCCTCTGTAATGGACATTTGTTTTTGGTCTAGATATCTTTTGACTTATTTGAGCTACCCTACTAAGTCCTGAAGCACTAAATAGAGGACATCTTCCATTGATATCTCATGTGTTTGGGCCTCTTTTAGCTCCAAAGAGGAAGGAAATCACACACAAAAAAATTAATTTGGAAGATCCCTTTTTCCTTGGTTCTCAGGAGGATATATCAGAATATTTTATATCACCAAATATTGGTATTGGTTTCTGTCTCAAAAATTCTATATCATTCAGGCTCTGATATAAACCCTGCTGTATTACAAAGGCAGCACACTCAGTGTAATACCTGCGTGTCAGACCAGAGCGTTCCTCTCACCATTGTCTGAGTACAAAAAGTTTTAAGGCAAACTCTTTCAGTTTTCTTCAGTGTGAAATCCTAGTGTTAACTTCATCCTCTTTGTGCTCCAGATTCGCTTCATCTCCCTGCAAGCCCCTGATCCTCTTTGGTCTGCCGGCCCTCCATCAGACCTTCATTCTATGTGGCCAAAGCCATTCAGGGACATGCTCTGCTACAATTCAGATCTAACAACGCTAACTTTTTTTATATTAAAGCCACAAAAGCATCTATTCAAAATGTATTTGGTTTTATTTACAAACCTAACAAGAAGCAATCTTAATATTGGGGATGATTGGTTTCCCTTTAAAAAGGAAGTAAGCAACCATATTAAATTACTTGTTATAAGGTAAGTTTGGATATGGTAACTGAAAAAACCCCAACATAAAATAATGTATCTTACAGGATGTAGTGCAATTTTGTGTAATTATAGGGAATATACTTTTTGTGCCCCTCAAAAAACTGATTGTCATTCACATAGCTTGGAAATCAGTGATTCTTTGTGTATAATCATGTACAAAGGTTTTTGATAATTTTTGATACAATAGTCACCAGACTGCAACAGATGAAGCTATTAAACAGCAGCTGTAGCAGGTTTTGAAACTACCTTAAAAATCAGTGCAAGTTAGAATTAGACTCTGTATGTACTCTAGCCAAAAAAGTCACACATTCTAATATTTCACTGAACCGTCTTTAGCTGTAATGCATTCATTTGTCTTGGCATCGCTTCAACAAGCTTATGCAGTGTCACAACATTAATTTTCATCCTGAGTTGCGTTAATTGTTCGCCAAGATTTTGTACTTATGAGGGAGTCGGACCGCTGCGCAAAGTGTCCTCCAGCACATACACAACATGATCAGTGGGGTTAAAGCCTGGAATCCGTGGTGGCCAGTCCATGTGTGAAAATGATATTTAATGTTCCCTGCACCACTCGTCCACAAGAAACCCCAGCAACACTTGGGCAGGCATTACACTGCCCCCACAGGCTTGGACGG